TAGTACCGCCTTAGTTACTGATGCTATCAGAAATAACTTCATGTTGTAAGATTCCCTTTCATCTGCCTGCTTTTCATAGAAAATAGTCCTGGATCTCAGTTGAAGCTGGATTTTCTTCAAGGTATTAGTTTTAAATTTTCTGTGTGCTTATCCTGAATGTCACTTTAGCTTAATACATTATATTGAAATGAGCCTAATCATAATAATTAAAAGCTTGCATGTTATCTACAAACTTGATTCTATTTTTGAGGACAATTCTTATAATTTAATATTCTTTGTACACGTTCTTAGTTAATATATAGCACTTTCTTTAGAGAAAGTGTGTTATAGAATTACACCACTGCTTGCAAGTGTTTGTCTTAAGAATTGAGTACCCCTGCACAACCTGAGGCAATGTTATTTCGTTTTTTAAAGGCAACTGACATTGTGCTAAGGTGCTGAAATAGCAGCAAATGCAGACATGTTTCTGCCTGCTTCACCCTGTATATATCCTCATAGAAACAAGCCAGGTCCTTATTTTCATAATTATCCCTTTGAAAGGAACGCACACCATGAATTTCATCACACATCTTTCAGTCTTACATATTCTTAAAGTAAATGTTATCATGGAAACAATATTTTGTAATTTTCTTATGATATGAACTTTTCCAATGTACTAAACTACAACTCTAAATTCCTGGATCTGCTAACATTTTGGGATGTTATGTTAATATGTAGCACACTTAAGTGGTTACCAGCCTTCATAAGGCCTATGCTTATATGTAAGGGAAAAAATAAGCAAATTAAAAATGCAAAATTTATTTTAGAACTTGTTGAAATTGAGTCTTTATGTAATTAGATTCTTCTATCAATGTCATTCCTTTAGAATCGGCATGTGTATTTTGAGGTACATTCAGTGTGGAAGTTATATGTAAAATCTACTGAAATAAAACTTAGGTATGCACTGGATTTACATAAAATGCCAACATGACTTGATTGGATTTAACTTTTTTTTTCTTGAGCCAAAGAGGCATGGACCACTACTGGACAAAATGAGACATCAGATATAGTAAGTAGTTTTCAAGAAGATACCAATTTTACATTTTCAGAGGACTTCAGATTCCTTCCTGAAGAATTCTGCTCCATCACTATGTTCTTTTGAATATCTGTATGATAAGCTTTCATGGTATTTTTTTTTTAATTCCCGGGACAGTTTACTGACAGTGAATAACTACTGAGCTATTTCAGTAATCTTGCATTGACATGATAGTTCCTGTATCTTCCAGTCACCTTTCCTAGAAAAAGTAATTAAGCCTTTCTGTCACTGAAAAATGAAACGATTTCCTTTAAATATCAGTGTTTTCATAGCATTTTCCTTTTATATATTTTTTGAACTAGGTTGAGGCTAAAGACAGACAAAAGACTTTTTGGTTGCTTATACTTCTCTCTGAGCAAGAACTAAGCAAGATGCTGGGCCTTGGGAGTGGGGAGAAAATACTTTTAGCTGCCCAAAGTTGGTTGACGATGGTTTGCTATATAATAGCTTTAAATGCATGCATACATTTTAAGGCAGGTTGGAGCCAAGATATTTGCACACCTGCTTACACATCTAGATCAGTGTTTCTCAACATTGGCAAGTTTAAGTGGGCTTGGGATTTTGGGACTTGAAGGTCAAGCATCTTAAACTTGCTTAGGTTGACAAAAGACTCATACTCATGAGGTCTCATTGATGCAAGTGCTAAATCAGTATTTTAAAAATATAATAAAGTGGGGGTGGCAATGGAACAAAACTCTGTCCCTGAAGGTAAATGTTAGCTTTATGAAATAGCTAGAGACAAATACTTGTCTCAAAAAGCATGCTTGTATTTCTAAACTAAAGACATGGATGTACACTAGCCTCAATGCTTAGGTTTTGGAAGACAGAGTTAACCTTGAATAAAGCTACTTTTTTCTCAGGGTGGCACGACTGATCTGTCAGTCCGAATTCGGACTTGGGTCTCACAGGAGGAGTGAATCAAAGGTAAACACTTGTACCTATCGCTGAGTTGATCCTCGGTCTGCTTTATGGGGAAAATCAGAAAAGGTCGTGCTTAATATTCTTCACTGCAGGATCTCAGTGAGCATGTCCGTCTGGAACACCCCTGTTTTATAAAGGAAATATACTATATCTGAATACACACACATATAATACTTACTGCTCCGATCGAATCCTGCATGTCTGCCTCCGTGCCTCGCTTGATTCATGGTGTTGTTGTGGCTACCGGGCGGGACAGTTTTGACAACGTGGGTATAAAGGATCTCGGTTGCATCGTTTTTGAATGCCACGCAGCTCTTCAGGAGCGCGCAGGCTAGCAGCAAACTCGGGAGGTGGAGTGCGGCAGCAAGCATGGTCAGAGCAATCGCGGAAACCTCTTGGAATGTAGGTGCTTCTCTGCTTCTGCGGCCACTTCTTCCCCAAGTGCCGCCCCGTGCCTGCGGAGCACCTTTATATAGTCCTAGGGGTTTGGCGCTCATTCAAATATGAAGTTCCAGATGACAGCACCGCTGAGGCGAGGGTGGGATCCCCTGGAACGGCAGTGGGTCCGCTTTACCAATAGAAGCCTGAGGGGGTGGAGGAGGAGGAGCGAGCAAGCCAGCCGCGACCTCCCGCGGGAACCTTGGCTGGAAGTAAAGCGGCATGACTTCTCTTTGCCCTGGGCAGCAGCAATGCTCGCCCGGCTTTGCATTGAAGTGGGGGAGGCATCATCTTGTCTGATTGGAAGTCCTTTAACGCCGAGCTGCTCTATTCCGTCTCTTATTAATACATCTGTAGGCAAAGAGGATGGAGAGTTACCTGGGAATAGTTAGGCAGCGCTGTACTATAGAATTATACAAAAAAAAAAAGCGTACTAAGGAAATGCCTTCTTTTTAGCCTCATTTCTTCCTGCTACCTCACTGTCTTTTCCCCCTTCTTTATTTCTTCTGGGCTTTTTCCTCTGCACATAGAGGGGACTGGAGAAATTTACAGCTTGCTCCTCTGACCAATTTAAGGAATGCCTTGAGATAGATGTTAATAATGCAGCTTTGATCAACACATCATTCTGTCAGCAATATTTGTGTTGGGAATAGTCTTCAGTTAAGATGCATCTGTGTGCATCTTAACAGGAGGCAAATATCTGTGTGCACCTTCATTCTGCAACTTTGGTACTCTAAGAAACTTTCTCTGAAATAAAGTATAATATTTAGGATAACTGTTGACTGACTCCAACTCTAAAATGTGAACCACTTTTGCAGATATGAAGAATATTGCAATACAGTTCAATAATAAATTTAGTAGTTATAAGCTGTTTAACAAAGGAAGGAAAATTATTTTAGCTAGTGGAGTTATATTAATATTAGAATCATTTCCTTTGCTACCAGTGAGTTTCACTACAAATGCAATGTAATTTCATATTTGTGCAATTCCACAAATAAAGTTTTTGGCCATGTTAAACATTCCATATATTGATGAAAGAAATGTCCTTCTGGGTTCGGCTCCAAGTATGGAAAAAGACACTGGAGACATGGAGGCTGCTTGGAAAGATGGTTTTAATGGTGGACAGGACCACATGGCTTGAGTCCTGAACAGAAAAGGTGATCACATGCTTCAATGGTGGTGGAGAAGAAGAGAAGGAAGGACTGAGATGCTGAGTCCCTGGTTTTATGATCTCTCTGGCCTTTGATCTTGAGCTTGTATTCTGATTGGTTGTCAGACTCCCATGGGGCCATGCAGGCGTAACTCTAGGCTGCATTTTGAATCCAGGTTTGGTTGAGTTCTCAGATGCCATGTGGTGAGTTGGGTAAAGTGCCAATATTATCATGTTTTAATCCCATCTCCCTGGGGCTAAAGTGGAGAAGTCTTTTATTATGTAAATGGACTAGCTTGGCCTTCTTAATGGTCCATTGACAAAGTGGAGATGGGCAGGAAGTTACAGGCAGCTACTCTGTCTTTTAAAACATGTTTCTTTCTTTTCACATCCAGAGAAATATTCTGCCTTTTCAATATTTCCTAGGATATTTCATTTTTCTGGGAGAGGACTGGGTGATAACTTCCTACAATATGACACAGAATATGTCTATATAATGACTATTGTATGTCTACACCAATCCCCCCCCCCATTTTTTTCCATACAAGATCCAGTACCCGTTGGAATGGCATTTACTATTGACTTAGTGAAAGATTCTTGACTAACTTTATCACAGTACTTTCAAGGTAATTCCTTATTACAGTTGTTATTTCAGATGTCAAAATGGAATATCATCTTTAAAGCAAATGTCCAGATTTGCAGATACTCTAATCTGGGGCTCCAACTTGCAAGTATAACTGTTTGCAGAAAGGCAGCCCAAGCTAGTATTTGAACCAGAACATTTTAATGTATATTTCAAATACACAATGAGAATTAAGGACAGAAAACACATCTTGTGGACACACTTTCCTCTTTGAAACGTTAATAAGAGTCATCAACAAAATTTTAGAAACAAACACACATACACACACACACATTTTTGTAGATTTTCACAGGTGTAGGTATGTTGGTCTTGTTGTATTCGTGTCTTTTCCCATGTAAGATTGAGATTGTCTTGGCAACATTTCAGTGAGGTCTCACTCGCCATCTTCAGGCTAGGTTTTAGTCTTAAAGTGTGATCGGAGCTGCTGTCTTTCTATAAATCTTGGTGGGAGTGTGTGGAATGATGGCTTTGTTTCAGTAAATGGAAATATTGGTTGTGTGGTTGTATCATGATTGGTAGATTGGTGCTGATTGGTGCTGGCTGTGCGTCTATTGTTGTTTCATGTTGTAATGACCTGGATGGTGGGTGGGGCTCGTTTGTTGACTAGTCATGAAACTACAACACCAACTGCAGGGTTGGTTTTATATATATATATATAACCAACTCTTTCTAACTAACTGCTTGCCTGACATCAACTCCAGGACATAACTTCTCAACATCTTTGGCAGAGGCTAGCTTACATAATATTCACAGCAAATGGCATATATGCACTGTTTCTTCAATGTAGGAATCTGCCAAAGAAGGAAGCTGATTTTTGACATAATTCTCTATGCTTATCAGTCCTCAATATGGTCCTTAGGTTTTCCAATAGTGGAGTCATCACCATCGTATTCAAGGGACAGTATTTTGTTGTATTTTGTTTTTTTATTTTTCTCTTGTTTTCTCACAGCAAAAGTGCCAATGCCCTTGCTATCAAATTGTTCATCACTCTAGATTGGTCTGCCTGCTTCATTGTATTTGCATCAAAATTATGTTGTCTTTTAAAGTCTGTAAGTCATTATCACAATTCACAGCTACTAAGTCAGGTGGATTCTGATACTAAAATAGCAATAGCACTTAAACTTATATACCATTCCATTGTTCTTTACAACATTTTCTGAGCAGTTTATAACATCAGCATACTGCCCCAACAGTCTGGGTCTTCATTTTACCAACCTCTGAAACTACAACTATTTTTATGGGAAAGTAATGCAGGTAATAAATCCCACATGAAAAGATACAATTTAAAATGTAAATTGTATTTGAAGGACCAGTTTAATTCAAGACAATAACATTAATCTTAGAAGATTATTTCAGGAGTTATTTCAGTATTTGGAAATTTTCACACACATACCTGTTCACTAGGCTATGGATTTCAATTTTCAACATAATTGTACTGCACAAAGAAGAGGAGGAAGCTCAAAAAAAGATATTGCCAGTCTTCTCAGAATGTTCTCAAAAGTTCCTACAAGAACTCTTTTCCTGATTTATACATACCTAGATGGGGTGATGGGATGTAAGACAATGGTAGCAATTGTATAAAAATATTATAAAATATATCAATAAATCAATTTTTATTATGGTCATAGACCAGCATCTTATAAAAGAGATACAGTTGATCAATTGTGGATCAGTTATACCAGATTGGTTATACACAATCAGGGAGAAATTCATTTTTCTGTGTACAAATAACAAGTAGATTTCAGGGAAACAAATATTGTCAGTTGATGTACTTATGACATTATATACTAATTTCAATATAGAATATTACTATTAGCTGCTAAGGATCTTGAGGTGATATAGCCAAATTGTGGTTATCTTAGAGGATGAAATTGGTCACTGCATAAATAGAACATTAGACATGATAGATCTTTGATTTAATCTTTCAAAGCTATTATGTTCCAATACATTGATAGCTCAGTCTGGATTAAGACCATAGAATAGGGGAAAGAACTACAGCATCTTACCTTCAAGTAGGATCAAGATTGGAATCATCCACAAACATTGCAACATTCATTTTAGGAGTTTATGAGAATTGAAACCCTACATATCTGGAGGGCACATTTAAGAAAGGCTGGCCTCATACCTGCAGGGCACCAGCTGCATTTCATTGACCTATTTTTTGCCTTAAGTGCTTAATATTAAAATTATCATTAGTATTTTAGTGATCCTACAGTGTTTATGTTGCTGACAATCGCATTACTCACAACAAGCAAGAGCAAAATGTTGCTTGGATGAAGAGAGTTTGAGAGAGGGATAACAGGAGCATTTAAAAAGCAGAAGCTAGAAATCTTATCAGTCAATAAATAGGGGAAGCTCGTACCTGCCTGCCTTATAACTGGCCACACCCTTTGCTGGAATAGCAAGAATGTTACAGGGTGGAACAGAGATGCATTAGCAGTCCTTTTGTGTGGAAAGGCTTGATCAGTATTTGGCTGTCTTGCGTCTAGCCACAGCCAGACTATCAGTTCTCTGCTTTAAAACATTTCCAGTTTTACACACACACACACACACACACACACACACACACACACACACACACACACACCAGACGTGATGAAATCTGTTTTAATTCTAAAGGGTACATCACAAAATAAAGCTTTCTTACACTGTTCTCCATTTCATGTATTCATAATCATGTTTATACATATATCTGCTATCTAATTCATGCTTGATGAAATAAATAAATAAAAATAAACATCAATGGTTCATGGAAGTGAATGTGCTCTGTGTAATAAATAGTACAACTTTAGTTTGTAGATTTCTTAATGCTTTGGTCTTGTCTTCAGAGTGCAGTTGAAAATTGTCTATTGTTTGTTTTTTCTTTCGGAAACAGAGCTGTATTCATGCAAAATTTAGTGAATCGTTCCAGTTCCTTCCCTTTCTTTCATCACCAGTATGTTTAGTTACCTGTTTGGGATCTAAGTATCTAAATATCAGTGTTGGAACGCAGCACAGTGCAGCTTCAGCATTGTTCCTTTCCCACACATCCAAGGACAAGACTAATCATCAAATCTACTGAAGGATCATAGTAATTTATATGGATGCTCCTTGTTCTGGCAAGTGGATGAGATGATACTGATATATTCAGGTTCTACTATTGTTTTGGCAGGTCTGCATAGGAAGAAGTGAGAGAGGAAAACAATTTTCCTTGGCAGGACTCCTATTTC